AAGAGAGTTGTGGACTGAAACTTGGACTCCAAACGCCTCCCAAGGTTTGGGAAGTTCTCAGCCATCATTTCTTTAACCAAACTTCCCGCTCTCCCTCCCTCTCTCCTCCTCCCGGGGCTCTAGTGATGTGCAGACTGTCTCTTAACGGTGTCCTGTAAGTCCTGGAGGCTTTTCATCCCCCCCCCCCCACCCCCCGCTTTGCTTCTCCGTTTCAATAATTTCCAATGCTATGTCTTCAAGCTCACTGTTTCTTTCTTCCGTTGCTGTTGAAGCTCTGTATTCAATTCTTTGGTTCAGTCGTTGTATTCTTCAGCTCCAAAATGTCTGTTTGGTTCTTTTTTATGTTTTCTATCTCTTTGTTGAACTTCTCGTTTTGTTCTCCTGATTTTGTTAAGTTGTTTTATCTGTGTTCTCTTGTAGCTCTCTGAGCATTCATTTTTGGAACAATTATTTTGAATTCTTTGTTGGCCAACTCATGTGTCCCCATTTCTTTGGGGAGAGTTACTGGAAGTTTGCTGTGTTCCTCTGGTGGTCTCACGATTCCCTGATGCTTTGTGATCCCTGCAGTCTTGCTATTAATAGGTATCTGTGCACTTGAAGAAGCAGCTATCTCTTCCAGACTTTATGGGCTGACTTTGGTATAAGGAAAGACCTTCACCTGCAGGCGGGGGCATGCTGGAGTGTGCTGTGATCCCAGGCCTAGTGGTGCTGGGTTCCAAGTGCAGGGTCAGGGGTAGTCTGGGTGGGAGGGATACTGTGCCATTGGCTCAGGCAACTGAGGGTCACAGCATCAACTGTGTGGTTCCTGGCAAGCACTGTGCGGGCTCTGCAGTGGCTGCAAGGGCCGGTGGGTTCCTCAGTGGTACCTCCAGGTTCAGCTGCTCGGGCACAGGGCAGGAAGCAGTGATGGCCAGAGTTGGAGGTGTGCACACACCTGGCTGTGGAGACCAGCTGCAGGTGCCTGTGTAGTGGCAGGGGCTGGTCGCAGACTCACACGTAGTGGTGGGGAACAGGGCCAGTTGCAAGGGCTTGGGCCAAGCGTGGGCCCACAGCAGCTGCGGGGCCCCTGGCAGGTGGTGTACTTTCCTAGAGCTGCAGAATCTCCCCACAGGTGTGTACACAACAGTGGAGGTTGGTGACAGAGATCAGCCTGGGGGTGTGCAGGTGCACAGCTGGGAGGGGCCGGCCACACTGTGCACCTGGCAACGGGGGTCAGCCGCAGGGGCCTAGGCGGGCATCTTGCACCTATGTAGCTGCAGAGGCCTGGGCAGGCTGCCAGTGCAGATCCTGGGCTCTGGCGGGGCCGGGGAGAATGGGGAGGGACTCAGGCAGCAGGTGCCCAGGAATGGGGGTACCCATGGGGTGATAACTACTGAGAGCTGGCGGGCTCCTCTGCGGAGCAGGGCACTAGGAACCATGGTTGTTCCAGCTGCACGGCTGACACTTTGCTTTGCTGGTCTCTTAGGTGGGGTGAAACTGAACAGGTCCCTTGTGTGGTGCCCCAAAAGGCTGGGGAAGCTAGTCGCTCACACCACCCCCCTCTTTCCTGGGGAGGAGAACTCTTTCTAGCTGGGGAGCTCCCTCTTGGTGCTGAGCAGTGCTGGCCTGGGGGATGGGGTCATGCAGACAAAAGGAAGCTGTTCTTCCCTTTCTGTGTGATTATTTTCAGGTTTTTGTTCCACTGAGCAGCTGAAGTTTCTGAAGTGGACTCCCGAGTTCTCCCAGAGCTGTTTTTCTCTGTGGATGGCTAATTGTTGATCTTTGTTGGGAGTCGGGGGACGGAGGCCGGGGTCTCCCTACTTCGCCATCTTGGTGCTATCATTTGAAAGTGAGCTCTAGGAGTTACGAAACTCCTTCCCAGACAGGAAGGGACTGAGCAGGATCAGATAACCACCTTTTGGGAGATTTTGCAAAACAGGCATCTTGCAGTGGATAGGCTTGATGTCCAGGTACTTTAGAAGGACTTGGGGACACAACTGACTCTGATCATTTGTCCTTTCCACAAGCACTGGAGTCCTATTTGCCAGGCCCTAGGCACACAGAAGGCAGCCCTTTCCTAGGGAAGTCTCAGCCCAGTAGAGAAGACAAATAAAGACAATCTACGGACCAACGTGACCGATACCAAAAGCAAGGTCAGGACAGCGCAGGACTGGAGCGGTGTGTCTGCACGTGTCAGGAGTGGGAGAGGGTTACTGAGGGCTCCCAGCTGCACCCGTCAGGACAAGGGGGCTGCAGCCTGACAGACCTGGACCGCCTGCAGGGAGCGTTACAGGTGAGGGCAATGAAACACAGTCCATGCAAAGGCAGAGAGGCGATGAGAAAGCAAGGGGCATTCGGAGAAACACAAGAGTGTCCTATAAAAGCACCATTTTCCCCAGGAAATAGGCATAGCATGAGGGCATGTGACAGATGTTTATGGCCACAGAAACCCACACGGTGACTTTTCTGGAAAGGAGGGTGGTGTGGTGGACTTTGCCCAAATTAATCACATCACAAATTTTCCTAGTCAATGTAAAATGATTTGACGGCTCCCCACCCAACGTACAGAACTCAGCACTTTACTCTCACACACAGTTAGTTGGCCCTTAAATGTTTAGTGAACATAATTATTTCTATGGCATTTTGGAATGTGACATACTCAGAAATTTAGTGTTTTTCTGAAAATGCTAGCTTTTCTTTAAAATGAAATTTACACATGACATCAAGAAGTTAGAGAAAGGAGCTGTCAGAGCACAGGCTTATCTGTTTTTCATCCAGTTCCCGCAGGTGAAGGGCAACGTGCTCTAGGATGAAGGAGCGTGCTGACATTATTGCAAGCTCGACCCGCTTCACACTTGGTAGCGTAACTTCCGGAGATGCACGGGTCAAGTTCAATACGTCCTTCATGTAGACATGCTGAGGTGATTAAATTAGGTGTGCCTCACATTACTACAGCAGCAAGCGTGATACTGAGAAGGTCTAACAACCAGTTCGGCGAGGGGTCCCACCACTCTGAAGCTGCGCTGGCTGTGGGTGGCAGGCTGGCTGCCCCGTGTCCCTGCTGAAGGTACAACTGTCCCCTGGGCTTGGGGACAGAACTTCCAGTACAATTAGCCACATGTTGGGAAATGACCGCCCGTAATGCTGGATTAAAGATGTGCGTCTTCAATACATGCCAGAAAGACAACTTTATATAATTGCAAGGAAAAAAACCATAGCCATTCTTGGCTTGTAACAGTATCTTTTATGAAGTTCCCAATGGTATGTTGATTATATAAAATTAAAAAAATATATTCTTGTCACAGATGCATACTGAACTATTTTTGGGTGAAATGACAGATGTTTTGGGTGTTGCCAAATATTACAGCATAAAAAAAGTGGGGCAAAGGTACAGTAGATAAAACAAGATTGGCATAATGCGGACAATTGTGGAAGCTAGCGGCTATAGTGGTTCTATGTGCTATTTTCTCCATGCTTGTTTAAGTTCAAACACTCCCATAAGTCCGTTGCTGACCTTAGAGGGTGATGGCCGGCAAATGACTCCTCTTTCTGAAGCTGGCACGTTGAGCGTTCTCAGATAAATCCCTCTACGATTCTAAAAGCAACTCCTTAAAGAAGTAAATACAATCAGGAAGCGACCGAGCAACAACTGGGATAAACTCAGATTGTCTGTAGGTGCACAGGTAGACTGATTCGTAAAGAGAAATCACTTTACAGCTAGCACAAAAAGTTATTTTAAACTTTACAGGTGTTTTAAAGTCCCTCTAATTTTCCCCTCCAAAAAAAGCAAAAAAAAAAAGGACAAATTTGACAGAAAATAAAGAACCATCTACTGTGTCATGGTATGAATTACAAATCATTTAAATTACTAATTTTAGCACTTTCTTCACTCTGAATGATACTGATCTGCTAGGAATCAATGTTCTTAAAGATTTCAAAAACTCTTACATAAGTCACAAGTAATATGTTTTCAAAAAACCGTTATAGTTTCCCAAATTGTGATGTTTTCATTTTCACTTAAATGCTGGACTGTGAAAGAATAAATTATAATCTCAAGTCCAGATGGAGTGTAGAATCTTTTTCTAGGAAGACTGAGAAAATGCTTTTCTAGATATGTAAATGAAGAGCATCCTGAAAACTTAGTAAGTTGTGGGAAATACATACATAACATTTGTAACTAGATATATTTGGTCTTTATCTCTGGTTCCCGACACAAAGCTCCTAAAACCCTTAGAATTTCCTGAGTTTTCGGGGTCCCTTGTGAGCAGAGTTTATGCTAATGAACTGACTTCAGGTGTGTCCCCTAGAGAGCCTCAGTGTGGGGCTGGTCACCAGAAAGATCGAAGGAACTTTTAGCTCCACCCACTGGCCTCAGGGAAGGGGGATGCTGGAGATTAAGCTCTAGAAAAATTCTTGAACAGCAGGATTTGAGGAGCTTCTGAGCTTCCGGGTTGGTGAACAGGAAGACATCCATGTGCCGCGAGGGTGGTGCACCCGAAACTCCACGGGGACAGAAGCTCCTGTGCCCGGTACCCTTCCAGACCTGGCCCTATGTATCTCCCTGTCTGCTGTTCATTTGTATCCTTTAATATCCTTTGCCAACAAGCCAGTAATCTCATAAGGAAACCGTTTCTCTTAGTCCTGTGAGCTGCTCTAGAAGTTAATCAAACCCGAGGAGGGGGTTGTGGGAACCTCAGACTTAGTGCTGACTTAACCTTAGCACTTAACCTGTGCTCGTAGGTGAGAAGCACAGGTAACAACCTGGACGGGTGACTGACATCTGCAGTGTGTGTCTGGGGGCGGGTGGTGGTAGTGGTGGTGATGCCGACTCAGCCCTTAACCTATGGAATCTGATGCCATCTCCGGGTAGACAGGGTCAGAACAGAACCCATCTGGTGTGTGAAGAATCAGAGGATTGGTTGGTGGTGTTGGAAAACACTCCACGGACCAAATATCACATCTTCTCCCCTCTTCATTTTTCCTAAAGGCCTTTATTAAGAACCACCATGGTTTGGTTCTCCAGCAACTTTTATTGGTCAAGGGATGTGGAATTATATGCAGTACCTGGGGTTTAATTAACAGGCTCACTTATAAATCAACTTAACATTTATCTTATTTAAAAAAAATTTTTGCTTTTGAATAAACTGATGTGGTCAAACAGACATGCTCCTACCCCATGCAAAAAGCTGTCCCCAAACGAGCAGCTTGCAAACCCACTGTAAATGAGATACTGAATGAAACATTCTTCTAGCGAGGTCCAAGAAGCAGCTCAGTCTGAGAATTTGCTTCATATCCTGACTTTTCAAAATCAAATATTCGAGACATAAAAGAAGCAAAATTAAAGTACGTAAAACAGCTATATCCTGATATTTTTATCCGAGTCACTTCCCAGAGTTTGTAGTGCTGCTGTGCTCTGTTGGTTAAAACAACAAAAGCAGTAGGCAGCTTCCAACTTAAAGGTAATGAAATTTACCAGTTTGCAGCTAAAAGTCACAGTGGAAGAACACATGTAAGGTGAAGAATGCTTTTAAACCTTTCAGCTTTAAGTAGTGCTGTATTTTAACTTTAAAGAGAAGTTCTATTATATATTTTTTGCATAAACATTCTAAAATATTAGAACAAGTCTTTGTAATACAATATATATTAGACTTCAGTATAACTCATGTGAATTAAAAACATGTTAACTTGATAACTGTCATAAGGCAAAAGTTGTACACAAACTTCTTAGTGGTGTCCCTTTAAAATTAACTTGATTTAGTGGGTTGCCTTAAAATGAACACGAAACAACAAAAGACTAAAAAAGAGGCAGTGATGCTCTAATACTGAATCCCAGAAAAAGCACAGTAGCAAACGATGTGTTTTCTAACAGGGAGACCAGGCGGTTCAGCAAACTGGGACCAGGTGAGCAGCCCCTGGTACATGGTTCATCTATTGCACTGACCAGATGCTGAGAGTAGATCGCTTGCCCAGGAAGTTTGGTTAAAGGTACCAGCATCTTTAGTACTGATCACAGTGCCTGTGACAGAGCAGGTGCTCAGCTCTACTTCCTGAACTGGTCTGATGAAGATACTTTAAAATCAACAGGGTGCTGGACAGTGTAAAGTTCGTGGAAAAACTCCATTTTTCATTTTGTTTTGGTATGTGAGTAACTACTGATCTAGTATTTGGAGTGTGGCTCACATAACACATTGTGGACTGTGGTAAATGGAATTAACTAAGCACTGCATTGGCGATCAATGCCAGAGTCTCTGAATATCAGGTCATAAACATAACCAACTGTGCAATATAACCGACACGATGATCAAAGCACACCTCACAATGAACAGGTTTTAGTTCAGACGATTAAAAAAAAATAAAGTATTAGACTGCATTTAGTGCAACGCTCTATCGATCATACCATACATCAGATACCATGCTGTGGAGACGTACTGGAGTAGCATATATACAGTACACAGCCAGGATTCAAACTGGGGTGAGAGGGCGAATACGGAACAGAACATTTTTACATATATGTGTACATTTAATGGTCTTGTCCACTGAACTGGATTTATTATACGTTTGCTGTGCCACATCTACTAGCTTGCCTAACAACCCAAATTATTTTTTTTGCACAAAGATCTACTTCCATTTAAAGTAGAAAAAGATGGTGGTTAAAAAAAAAAAAACTTCTTCAAGCTCCAACAATTGTGTCCCAAACACCACTGTATGAACACCTAAAAAATATTAAGAACAATTTAGAAATATGCATGACTAAAAATGTACAAACAAACATCGATTAAAGTCACAAAGGGAACTAGTGAATGAATACTTCCAATTTTTATTTAAACTTACCTAGGCATATTAGATAATGTTGACTATACATAAAAAAGAGGAAGCTTTAGAAAGTTAAAATCTCTACTTGCAAATTTTATAAATGAGCCTTGGCTACAGGCACATTCATTTAGACTTCAATGAACCCAGGAAAAGACTCGTCACTGACATATAGGGAGAAGAACCTCTAACTCAATCACTCCCATCAACTTTCCTTTCTGAGCAAGTGCATTAAGGATTTCCTACAAATTCTTTCAAGCAGAGAATCTAATTTTTTTTTTTTAATTGGTAAGGCTGGGTTTAATCTAGCATTTTGCTATTTGTTTTATATTTTCCCCATCTGTTCTTTACTTCCTTTTTTCCTCTCTTCCTGCCTTCTTTTGGATTTATTTAATTATGTATTTATTCCATTTTAATTCCCATGTTGGCTTATTAGCCAAAACTCTTCATTGTGTTGTTTCAGTGCTTTAGGATTTTTTTCTTAAGGTTTTATTTTTTTAGAGCAGTTTTAGCTTCGAAGCAAAGTTGAGGCGGGAAAAGTATGTAGAGCTCCCAAAGACCCCCTGCCTTCACACATACACAGCCTCTCCCATTATTGACGTCCCCACCAGACGGTACATTTGTTACAGCTGATAAGCCTACACTGACAATTCATAACCACCCCAAATCCATAGTTAAACTACAGCTCACTCTTGGTGTTCTATGTTCTAGGGGTTTGGACAGATACATGATGACGCGGATCCATCACATGGTATCATACAGAGTCTTTTCACTCTCCCCAAATCCTCTGTGCTCTGCCTATTCATCCCTCCCATCCCCAGCCCCTGATCTTTCCCCTGTCTCCAGAGTTTTGCCTTTTCCAGGATGTCACATAGTTGGAATCGTGCAGTATGTAGCCTTTTCAGATTGGCTTTTTTTTTTTTTTTTTGGCTGCACCGCATGGCATGTGGGATCTTAGTTCCCCGACCAAGGCTTGAACCTGTGCCCCCTGCATTGGAAGCGCGGAGTCTTAACCACTGCACCTCCAGGGAAATCCCCAGATTGGCTTCTTCCACTTAGTTATATGCCTTGAAGGCTTGACAGCTCATTTCTTTTTAGTGCTGAATAATATTCCATTGTCTGGATAGACCGCAGTTTACCCATTTGCCTTCCGAAGGACATCCTGTTTACTTGCAAGCTTTGGCAATTATGAATAATGCTGCTGTAAACATCCATGTGCAGGTTTTTGTGTGGACATAAGTTTTCAACTCCTTTGGGTTAATAGCAAGGAGTGAGACTGCTGGATCATATAGTAAGAGTATGTTTAGTTTCATTCATCTATCTACCTACCTATCTATCTACCTACCTACCTAATGGTTTTACCCGTGGTATACGATTGACAGTTTAAACACTGATTATAAACATGTCTTGCTAATTTATTTATTTTTAAGCATTACTCTTTTTTTTAAAATTTAATTTTTATTTTTGGCTGCGCTGGGTCTTTGTTGCAGTATGCGGGCTTCTCATTGCGGTGGCTTCTCTTGTTGCGGAGCACGGGCTCTAGGAGAACGGGCTTCAGTAGTGTAGCATTCGGGCTCAGTAGCTGTGGCACATGGGCTTAGCTGCTCCGCAGCATGTGGGATCTTCCTAGACCAGGGATCGAACCCGTGTCCCCTGCATTGGCAGGTGGATTCTTAAGCACTGCACCGCCAGGGAAGTCCTAAGGTTAGTTTTATAAGAAAATGCCAAGCTGTCTTCTAAAGTGGCTGCACCATTTTGCATTCCCACCAACAATGAACAAGAATTCCTACTGTTCTACATCCTCACCAGCATTTGGTGCTGTCAGGGTCTTGGACTGTGGCCATTCTAATAGGCTTGTAGTGATATCTCATTGTTTTACTTTGCTTTCTCCTTGATGGCATATGATGTGGAGTATGTTTTCGTATACTTATTGCCATCTGGATATCTTCTTCGGTGAGGTGTCTGTTAAGGTCTTTGGCCCGTTTTTAAATTGGGTTGTTTGTTTTCTTACTGTTGCGTTTTAAGAGGTCTTTGTGTATTTAGGATTAACAGTCCTTTATCAGGTATGTGTTTCACAAATATTTTCTCCTGGTCTATAGCTTGTCTACTAATTCTCTTGACATTGTCTTTTGCAGAGCAGAAGTTTTTATTTTTCATGAAGTCCAGCTTACCAATTCTTTCTTTCATGGATTGTGTCTTTAGTGCTGTGTCTAAAAAGTCATCACCACACCCTAGGTCATCTACATTTTCTTTTATCTTCTAGGAGTTTTATAGTTTTGCATTTTACATTTAGGTCTACGATCCATCTGGAGTTAATTTTTGTGAAGGGTACAAGGTCTGGTATGTAGATTCATTTTTTTGCATGGATGTCCAGTTGTTCTAGCACCACTTGTTGAAAAGACTATTTCTGCTCCATTGTATTGCCTTTGCTCCTTTAACAAACATCGGTATGTGGGTGTATTTCTGGGCTCTCTATTCTGTTCCATTGATCTACTTGTCTATTATTTCACCAATACCATACTGTCTCGACTACTGTGGCTTTATAGTGTTTTGGAGTTGGGTAGTAACAGTCCTTCAACTTTGTTCTTCTCCCTCAATACTGTGTTGGCTATTATGGGTCTTTTGTCTCCTCTCCACATAGACTTCAGAATCAGTTTGGTTTTCCTCATATAGATGTTGTTAGAGTTCTACCTATTTCCTTTTTGGGGGGATGCTAATGTGAAGGGTATTGTGTTTTTCATTTCGAATTGCACTTGTTCATTGCTGGCATAGAGAAAAGTGATGGACTTTTGTATATTAACCTTGTATCTTGCAACTGTGCTATATAATCATTTATATAGTTTGTGGATTTTTTGGATTTTCTACACAGATTATCATCAGCCAACAAAGTTAGTTAATTTCTCTCTTCCCAGTCTGTGTACCTTTTATTTCCTTTTCTTATTGCATTAGCTAGGACCTCCAGTATGATGGTGAGAGGGGACCTCCTTGCCTTGATATTAATAGGAAAGCTTCAACTTTCTCACCATTAAGCAGGATGTTAGCAGTAGGTTTTGGGTAGATTTTCTTTATTAAGTTGAGGAGATTCCCCTCTATTCCTACTTTACTGAGAGCTTTCATTGTGAATGGATATTGGATTTTGTCAAATGATTTCTCTGCATCTCTTGATGAAATCATGTGATTTTTGTTCCCTGTTGATGTGACGATTACATTAATTGATTTTGGAATGTTGAACCAGCCCTGCATACCTGGGATAAATCCCACTTGGAAGGATGTAATTCTTTGTATACATTGTTGGATTCAATCTAACATTTTGTTGAGAATTTTTGCATCTATGTTCACAGGAGATACTAGTGTGTAGTTTTCTTTTCTTGTAATGTCTTTGTCTGGTTTTGGAATTAGGGTAGCGCTGGCCTCATAGAATGAGTTAGGAAGTGTTCTGTCTGCTTTTGTTCTGTGAAAGAGACTGAAGAGAACTGGTACAGTTTCTTCCTTAAATGTTTGGTGGAATTCACCCGTGAACCCGTGTGGGCCTGGTGCTTTCTGTTTTGGAAGATTATTAATTATTGGTTCAATTTCTTTAATAGACATAGGCCTATTCAGATTGTGTATTTGTTCTTGCATAAGTTTTGGCAAACTGTGTCTTTGATGGAATTGGTTTATTTCATGCAGGTTGTCAAATTTGTGGGCACAGAGTTGTTCATAGCATTCCTTTATTATCCTTTTAATGTCGACAGACTCTGCAGTGATGCCCCCTCTTTCATTTCTGATATTAGTAATTATATATATATATATATATATATATATATATATTTCCCTTAGCCCGGCTAGAGTCACTGATTTTACTGGTCTTTTTCAAGGAGCCGGCTTTGGCTTCGTTGATTTTTCTCTATTGATCTCCTGCTCTAATTTTATTATTCCTTTTCTTCTGCCTACTCTGGCTTTAGTTTGCTCTTCTTTTTCTCGTTTTCTATGGTGGACACTTATATGATGGTACTTAGACCTTTCTTCTTTTCTAGTACGTGCACTCAATGCTATAAATTTCACTCTAAGTACTGTTTGTGTTGAATCTTCCCAAATTTTGATAAGTTGTGTTTTTTCATTTAGTTCAAAATATTCTTACATTTCCCTTGAGATTGCTTCTTTCACTCATGTGTTATTTAGAAGTATGTTGTTTAATCCCCACGCATTTTGGATTTTCCAGTTAGCTTTCTGTTACTGATTTCTAGTTTAATTCCACTGTGGTCTGAGAGCAGACACTGGATGATTTCTATTCTTTTAAATGTGTTCAGGTGTGTTTTATGGCCCAGGATGTGGTCTGTTTTGGTGAGTGTTCCGTGTGAGCTTGAGAAGAATGTGTGAGCAGAGATTCTCACTGCTGAGAATCTCTAACTTTTAATTATGCAATCACCTCTCCTTTTCATAACGCGGCTGCAAAAAGCAGTGACAGCCTCCACCTCTAAGCCTGTGCGGGGCTATGGGTGGCGAACAGAGGGCGAGGCCGAAAGCGGCAGGGCGCCGCGACGCAGGCACCTACCTGTGCTCCCTGCGCTGCTTCAGCAGCCGCAGTCCTGTGCGCTCGGGGCCTGTGCGCGGCGTGGAGACCGCAGCTGTCTCAAGGCAGCATCTCCATACTGAATACCTGAGCCCATTCTTTCTGGGTCCAGCTCACCTGAGGACCAAGCAAGTCTTTAGAAAACGTTTTCATGTTTCTGTGATCCCCACAATATATTAAGTGAAAAAAGCAAAGTGCAGAACACTGTGTATATACAACACAATTTTGAATACAGAGGAAAAAATACACACGTTTGCTTGTATGGGCATAAAAACCTCTTTGGACGGATACATAAAGAACTGGTAATAATGGCTGACTTCAGAAAAGTGCTCTAGATAGCTAGGGGACAGGAGACGGGGTAACAGAGGGTGACTCACTCTATCCTCTCCTGCACTTTCTGGATTTGGAATTATGTGAATATATTATGTATACAAAGATTTAATTTAAAATTAAACCACAAATTAAAAAAGATACCATTTTTCACTTATGAGACTGGTAAAAACCCACGTATGATAATACACCCTGTGGGTGTGGCTTTAGTGAAATAAACACCTTCATTCACTGCTAGTGGGATGATAAACTGCTACAACCCCGATGGAGGAATTTGACAGCTTCTACCTAACTTCCAAATGCTTGTGTTCTTTAACGCAGCAAATCCACTTCTGGGAATTTATCCTATACATACACTCACACACATGTGAAATGATATACAAAAGGTTATTTACTGCAACATTTTTTGTTACAGCAAAATACTGGCAACAACTCAAATGCCCAAAGTAGACTGGTTAAATAAATTATGGCAATACACAAAATTGAACACTACATACACACACACATTATGTGTGCACATGTACATTAGCATATATATATGTATATGGAAGTCTCTAAATACTGATTTGTCATCACTGGTAGGTAGAGTAAGTGCAGAGTTCATAGTATGCTGACTTTTGTATAAAAAGGAGGGGAGAAAATAACGGTTTTTGAACCATATGAATGTACTGCCTCTTTAGAAAACTAAAATTAAAAAGTACTGCTGAAATGGATAAACAACAAGGTCCTACCGTAGAGCACAGGGAACTAGATTCAATATCCTGTGATAAACCATAATGGAAAAGAATATGGAAAAAAAATATATATGTATAACTAACGGAATCACTTTGCCGTACAACAGAAATGAACACAACATTGTAAATCAACTATACGTCAATAAAATCTAAAAAAAAAAAAAAGTACGGCTGAAGAGTTCTAACATGTCCTTATAGTTTTTTATCTGATGTAACTATGATTTGGATGATCTCAGAAGAAAAAGATCCTGAAAGCTTTATATGAATGAACTCACACACACTGTATTCAAGGGTGGACACCAAAGGGGGAGGTAAGCTAAAGAAACGCCCGTGTTGAGCCTGCTAATACGCAACATCACACCAATTTTCGTGACAACTATTGAGGCTCTAGTCTTTAAAAATAACAGTTCTGTACCAGCTTGAGGAAATTTTTGCTGCTGTTTTCAGGTCAAAAGACCACAGGAGGATGAAGCAGCCCTGTTCCTGCTGAGCCCAGCCCGCCGTCTGGGACCCTGGGGCTCTCCCACTACCTCGCCCGCCCCTACCACCTCCGTCCGCTCCCCTCCCGCCTTCTCTCCTTTCCGTCCCTCTCGCTCCTCTCGCGTCATTTACTGAAACCTCTCGTTAAATTAACCGTCCTCCGGGGAGGCGCCAGGCTCTGCTTCCTCACCCCCTCTTGATGCTCCGCTGCCCCCTGTCTTCTCCTTGTCATTCTGCTGGTAAAGATGACTGGTGACTTCCTACTGCCCGCCCCACCGGACACTTTTCAGCTCACGTCTTGGCTCATGAGACTTTCCTCTGATGCATTTGATAACGAACAACCCTTTGGCTGAAGCTTGGCAAAGTGATACCCACGTTCCCGGGTCTCTTCATATACCTCTGACTTCCCCCTCCTCTCTCTCATCCTCCGGTCTCCAGGGCTTCGCTCTGGGCCACTGCCCTCCCCAGCGATCAGTAGATCGCTGCGTGGTCTCGCTCCTTCCAGAGTTGCCACTACTCCTACAGACTGATGGCTCCCAAGCAGACACCGCCAGCCAGGAATTCTCCCCACAGCCTCCTGCATGCCTCCTTGCGTTTGTCCCAGCGACGCTGCCCAGGGAACACTCCAAAACAGAAGCATCTTGATTCCCTTGAACCGGCTTGCCCTCTGGCTCTGCCATGACCCTCTGGGTCCCCGAGTTACCCAGGTGTGACACCTAGTTGCCCTCAGCCCCTCCTCCCTTCCTGACCCCACCTCTCAGCCCCCTCCCCAGAGGCAACGGCCCCGCCCCGCTAGTTAGCATCTGAGTCACGATGCCACTGCCAAAACGTTTCTTGGATTCATCTATGTCTCTTCATCTCCGCTTCCACATCCTCGATAAAGCTTTAATCAGGCATCTTTTTTCGGATTACTCAAACATGCCTTTGTTGCTATCCTGGCCATCGGCCCTGGGCTCCCTCCAGTATGTCCCTGATGTGACCACCCACACACACGATCTGCCTCCAGCCACAATCTGACCACGTCATTCACGGCCCCCGCCCCTGAATGGCCACTCACCCCTACCGCAGTGCTCAGTCGTGGACGAACATCAGAATTAATCACACGAGAGAGCGTTTTAAAATCTGATGCTGAAGGCCTAATTCAGCATCTCTAGGGGCGGGTCTTGGAATTCAAACTTTTATGCATCCCAGGAGGCTCTAGCATACAGGCAGGGCGGAGACTCGGTCACGCTTTACAGGGTAAAGTTCTAGGTCCCGGATCACGATCCCTGGCCTGGCTGCTGCCTCTCCTCAGCCTTCTCTCCTGCCATTCCCCGCTGTGGTCCTTCTGTTCTAGAAACTTCAACTTCTCCCCCAGTGTCCACTAGCGCTGTCCCTGCTGGCCTCCCCTCCTCACACTTGACAGCCTGAGCTTGGTCACCACCTCCTCCTGGAAGCCCTTCCTGATATCACCTCCTAAGCAGGTAGGTTCTCCTCCTTCGTGTGCCCCAAGATCCTGTGCGCTTCTCAGTTACTGTATCGACCACACCGTATTATAAGTATCTTTTGACTGCTTCCCATGAAAGACAGTTTCTTGAGGGCAAGGGTTGTGATTAATTTATTTCTGTATCCCAGCACCTGACAAAGAACAGGCATTCAGATATTTGAATGAATCAATTAAAAACTGAATGTCCACATATAATTGCGGTGATACTTAAATAAAAAGTAACTCTAATAAATGACAACTACATATTACTTTGTCAGCTGCCTAAATTAGGGGTATTGTAAATTTATTTTTACTGAAGCAGCAAACAGAACAATGATGAGATAGGTTACTACTGAGGCACACTCAGTGAGCTTCGGGAGTAAATTCTCCCCGATGCCTGATCTAAACCAGCGGCACCCCGCGAGGTGCCCATAGATCACGCCAATCCACCACACACGACTGCTGGCCCAGCACAGTCCGAGGTGCTGACGGAGCGCGGACAAAGGTCCGTTCTTCCTGAAGTGATGGCTCCAACAAAGGCTGTGGTTCTAAAAGCAAACACGCCCTGACACCCTGACTCTGTCCCTTCCGTCACTGGGGCCAAGGAGGCCGCCGTGAAGGAGGCGTGGGCTCCCACCTCAGCCGCGGACAAGACCTTCAAGCCCGTGAGTGGTGACTGCAGGTCGGCAGGGGGAGAGGCCGCTCTGACCAAAGCACTCCTGGAAGTACTGAAAAGGGACACTACTGAGCTAGAGAGGAAACGACGCTAAAGGAAAGTTTATTAATGGAAAGCCTTTTACCTGATTCAATTTTGTTAAGTATTTTTCTCGCACACTGTACAAAGGCCTCTTCCACGTTCTCCCCGGTTAGTGCACTCGTTTCCAGAAACATCAGCTCTGAAATCGACATCAAACAAAACACGAAGCCATATTAAGAAGACAATCACAATTATCCGATTCATAACTGCCAGCTTGGTACACTCTTAGAATAATAGACGAAATAAATTTAGTACTTAAAACCAGGTATTTCTGCAAATATGAAATCAATGCCAAAATATTTTTTTAAATATTAGAAGAAATCTAACTTTTTCCGAAAAGTAACTAGTATTTTGTGCTAGCACTTAAATGTGTTGAAGAAACTAAGCAAGCAGGACGCTGGTAAGGAAGCAGGCTGGCTGAAGGCACCCGGCTGTTGATATAAGACAAAGTAGCAGTTGCCTTCCCAATAGTCTCCACGTCACCACAGATACAACCTACAAGTGCTGACATCTGGTGAGCCGCCCTGACAGTGAGGGGACCTTACACGAATGAGCCCTCTTATGCACCAGCTGGTGACTCATGCAGCAGAAGGCTGTTCTCTTGCTTTTGTGAGCAAACCACAACCTCTCCAGACCTTTCTTTCCTTCCTTGTAAAAATGAGTTTCATTTAAATGACAGATACATTCCTTTCGACCTTTAACATTCTAAGCGTGCATGTTTCTAAACAGCTTCTTTACAAACTCATGAAGGCTTCTGTTTATTTTCCTAGCAGAAACCCTGCTCGTTTGTGAGAGTGTAAGTGGGTGGTCCTGGAGTCCAACTGAAAGGTGATAGTAGGATATTTTAGTTGTTGACTGCTTCCAAAAATTAAAGTTATTTTAAAATGTCTGAATTCTTTTTTTTTTAAACCTAAGCTATGTTTTTCTAAGTATCTTTTTTCTTTTTTTGTGAGATAAGTGTTTTTGTTTTTTTTTTTACATCTTTATTGGAGTATAATTGCTTTACAATGGTGTGTTCGTTTCTGTTTTATAACAAAGTGAATCAGTTATACATATACATATGTTCCCATATCCCCTCCCTCTTGCGTCTCCCTCCCTCCCACCCTCCCTATCCCACCCCTCTAGGTCACAAAGCACCGAGCTGATCTCCCTGTGCTATGCGGCTGCTTCCCACTAGCTAGCTATTTTACGTTTGGTAGTGTATATATGTCCATGCCACTCTCTCACTTTGTCCCAGCTTACCCTTCCCCCTCTCCATGTCCTCAAGTCCATTCTCTAGTAGGTCTGCATCTTTATTCCCGTCTTACCCCTAGGTTCTTCATGACATTTTTTTTCTTAAATTCCATATATATGTGTTAGCATACGGTATTTGTCTTTCTCTTTCTGACTTACTTCACTCTGTATGACAGACTCTAGGTCTATCCACCTCATTACAAATAACTCAATTTCGTTTCTTTTTATGGCTGAGTAATATTCCATTGTATATATGTGCCACATCTTCTTTATCCATTCATCCGATGATGGACACTTAGGTTGTTTCCATCTCCTGGCTACTGTAAATAGTGGTGCAATGAACATTTTGGTACATGACTCTTTTTGAATTATGGTTTTCTCAGGGTATATGCCCAGTAGTGAATTCTTCTCACTCAGCTGTCTGTAAGCAACTATTAATTTTACGTGTCATCCTTATGTATTCTAGATGGAAATTCAGAGAAGTTTAAAAGGCATCTTTAGCCAAATGACTTAAATTTAATGTAAGTGAAATACAGCCAATTAGTCCAGTATGTCTTCTACTGCTTCCCTTTCTATTTACGTCTAATATTTCACTAACTTAGCTTCAAATTACATTTTATAAAAGATGACATCATCTGATTAGGGCCTTTAAAGATGGTTATAAATTTCACTTTAAACCAAGACCTGTGATATCAAAGATCCTAGACTGAAAAGTCACCACAGAATGCTAAGAGATTAGCTTTTATCATCATAGTAACCTCTTTTTTTTTTTTTTTGGCCCACACCACGCGGCATGCGGGATCTTAGGTCCCTGACCGGGGATGGAACCTGCGCTCCCTAAAGTGGAAGCACAGAGTCTGAACCGCTGGACCACCAGGGAAGTCCCTCATCATAGTAACCTTCGTGGGCAGAATGCAATAGGGTGAGACTATGTTAAGTGAGTCTAATGTACAGTAAAAACAATAGGAAGTTCCACACTTCCTAACTACAGCTGCATCTTAAACCTCCAGCAGGTGTGACAGGTGCAAGGCCACTTGCCATTTTCCTGAGCAAATCGGGAGGCTTCTAGGAAAGTGACTTCCCGATCGGGGTCCAGGTCCTTCTTGTTCCCACAGAGGATGATGACGATGCTCTGACTCGCGAGCATTCTGGCATCTGTTAACCAATTAGTAAGCGCATTGTAGGTTTCCCGGCTGCGTAACATAAGATTATGAAAACAGCACATGTATTTTATAAAGCTAGCAACTCTTTCCAGCCACTCACGCCACTCCCAGCGCTTCTACACACGCAGGGCAATGCCCACAGCCTTTAAGGTGACGCAGACGATCTGGGTGCCCCTGGTGTACACCACACCCACAGGGTGCATTTCATCTTGTTTCCACGAAAGTGAGGCAACAAGCCAGAAGCTTGCTGTCTGTTGTCTGCCCAAGCAGGGTCAGTATTTACTGGGCTCTCGGTTCATGCAACATGCGAGCAGGACCTAAGGCTAACTGCTGCCACTCAACGGATCCGTGTGACGCGCTGGTACTTCGCTTCACACGAATTTAACACACTGATTCTCTGTAAGGACTCTGTGACACAGACTCTTATTATCTCCTGTTTCCACAAGAAACCTGAGGCCCAGAGAGACTAAGTTGCCCAAAGTCACACAAGCAGCCAGTGGCAGAGCCAGGACTGGATCAGGTGCATCCACCTTCAGGACTGTTTTCAGCCCTCATCTATCTAAGGATAAAACTCTCAAAAAAAAAAAAAAAAAAAACTCTCGTATTCTAAGGACTGACCGAGGAACTGAACTTTACATTTAATTGTGATACCTGGGTGATAGCTACACGCAGGACAGTGCACTCAGATCCTTACGATGGGCCAAGAGCTCTACGTGAACCAAATCAACCACCCAACAACCTCACGAGTATTACGTGGTCATTACTCCATGGAACAGACAAGGAAACTAAAGTCCAGACAGCGGAGCACCTCGCCGGAGGACTCACACCGCTGGTGACGGCAAGTGGGCTTTGAACCCAGGCTGTCCCAGCCTAGAGCCTGTGCTTGATGGAGGTCCGTTACTTCTAATAATTTACCACACGCAAAGCTTCACTTTGCAAACCTTAAGGAAAGTATCAAAACATCATGTTAAAAGAAACATAATGACACTGGGGGTGCTTATCTATCTGAAGCTTGGGAACATGCTGCTTTACATGGTAAAGTGGTGGAAGGGGCTGCTTCGAAAACGCCCAAGACCCCCAGGAAAAGGGCTGAGGGGCTTCCCGCCCCACAGCCCTGCCACCGACGTGCCCAGCACACCCGCGGGGAGGCTCGGACCTCGGGGAGCACAGGCCGGCGAGGGGTGTCATTACCTGGTGATGTCATAGACGAGCAGCGCCCCTGCCGCACCCCTGTAGTAGCTTCTCGTCACAGACCTGGAAGAGTTACAGGCTTTCACTTTCCACCACGCAGAGCCCGTACCCCTGAGCACCATCTTCCCACACAAAACACCCATTTTTGCCTTGGAAACCACAACATAGGGACGGAGGTGGCTTTAAAGAGAAATGATTCAAAGTTATCTGAACATGGGCATGAAGGGCTGTCCTGCCTGAAATCGTGTCACAGGAGTGACAGGGAGGTGGGGGCGTGAGGCTGGGATGAGTGTCATCCTCCCTGGAGGGCGTGAGGCTGACCCGCACAACTGAGGGTGCCTTTGAGAACGTCGGAGGAGGGGCAGAAAGGGGGCATCACAGAGTCCCAGGGCACGAAGCCCATGGCAGCCCCTCTGCTTGCCCGGGGTCCGTGCCTTCCTGCGGACGAGGGGCCGCGCGTGGCTGCGCCCCCGACGCCCGGCCGCGTGGCCTCACCTGTCTTCAGCGAGTCCCCACCCGAACGCATCTCGCCCGTTCCCACAAGCTCCAGGATTTCTCCTGCAGTAACACACCTTCTACCCTGTATCTCGACTCTCTCCCTGCGTGTGAAGACTTCCCCACTCGCAGAATACAGTGGGCTGCGGCACCTCCCATCTTGGACGAGAGCCAGGCGGGCGGCGCTGCCGTCCCATCGTGGGCCCCTCGCGCACCCACACGTCTCAGGAGCTGCTTCACCAGCACCGCCTCCTCCTGCCCCAAGGACATAGCAGCTCCACCGACCCCGCGGCACCTGCCCTCCCCCGCTGCCTGGACCCTCCCCCCGCCCCCAGGCCGCAGCCCCACTCCCTCCCGGTCTCCTCTCACACCAGCTACTCTGGACCATTCCTCTGAATCTGCCCCGCTGGTCCTGGAGCTCCTTCCCCCAGGCTGGGTCCTGGGCTCTCCCTTTTTTTTTACATCTTTATTGGAGTATAATTGCTTTACAATGGTGTATTCGTTTCTGCTTTATAACAAAGTGAATCAGCTATACATATACATATGTCCCCATATCCCCTCCCTCTTTCGTCTCCCTCCTTCCCACCCTCCCTATCCCACCCCTCTAGGTGGCCACAAAGCACCGAGCTGATCTCCCTGTGCTATGAGGCTGTTTCCCACTAGCTATCTGTTTTACGTTTGGTAGTGGATATATGTCCATGCCTCTCTCTTTTCTCCCAACGCTCTCAACTCCGGTTTAATCCTCAGCTCAGCCTACTTCCGTAAGAGCCATCCGCCAGCCCGGCAACTCTGTGTGACCACAATGCACGCGTCACAGTCAACATCTCAGGCAGAACTCTGGCTCCCGGCCTACAGGCCCCTCCGGGAGGCGGCCCCACCACCCACTCTGTTTACACAGCCAGGAATCTCTCCACCCACTCTGTGCCCATCACAAAGTGATGTGACACAACGTGTCCCACAGTGGACACATCCGTCAGGACCCGTCTCACCAACTGGTCAGCTCCTACACCGTGCACGTCTCTACACCTTCACCAGCACCGTCCTGATCCGAACCACCAGCTCTGCCTGGAGCCCTGCCACGCGCGTCCCCTCTGTCACCTGTGGCCCTCAGCCCCTCCTCCAGGTCTTCCTCGAGGCCTGCAAGGCCCTGGTGCTCAGGGACTGGGGCTCAAGTTCAACCCCCAATGGTCAGTGATCGAATCGATCGTGCCTACGGACTGGAACCTCCCTAAGGACCCCTAAGAAATGGGGCTCAGACAGCTCCCGCCACCTCCCTGTTCCCCAGGCTGGGGTCCCGGTGGCTCCATCTTCCTCTCTTGGTTCCTCCCTTGTGCTGGTGAAGCATATCGGAGAACATATGAAAGACCACCTTTGTTTTCCTCCATTCTTGTATAACTGAAGGTATTTCTGATTTTATTCTTACACTTAATGGAGAGTTTGGCTGAGTTCAGAATTTTAGGTTGGAAAAGAATTTTTCACGTTGAGTTTTGAAGGCAAGGCTTAGTTATCTCCTAGCTTCCAGGCGCTGCTGCTGAAGACTCCGCTGCAATTCTCGTTTTCGATTCTTGATATGTGATTTGCTCTTCCCTCCTGGAATCTTTTGGCATCTTCACTTCATCCCTGGTGTTGTGAAATTTTACGTGGCAGACCTGGTCTGGATGTTTCCCCCCTCATCTGTGTTTGGTGTAAGGTGGAATCTTACAGAGTCTCATTCCTCTAGTGGAAAATGTTCTTCAATTGTTTCTTTTACTGTTTCTTCTGCTCTTCTGTCTTCGGGAAGGCTTAACTGGTAAGGCCTTGAGCTTCCTGGACTGACTCTGTATGATTTCTTATGTTGTCTCTCTTTTTTTTTTTTTTTTTGTGGTACACGGGCCTCTCACTGTTGTGGCCTCTCCCGTTGCGGAGCACAGGCTCCGGACGCACAGGCTCAGCGGCCATGGCTCAGGAGCCCAGCTGCTCCGCGGCATGTGGGATATTCCCGGACCGGGGCACGAACCCGTGTCCCCTGCATCGGCAGGCGGACTCTCAACCACTGAGCCACCAGGGAAGCCCTTATGTTGTCTCTTCCCTTTCTCATCTCAAGTTTACCGTTTCACTTTCTGGAAGGGCACTACTTTATTTAATATATTATTTTAAATTTGCTCTTTTTAAATTACAAGTTTGTTCTCATTCCCTGAACACAATATCTACTCTTATTGCTGAGGATACTGTAGTTTTAGTTTCTGTCTATTCCCTGAAAGTTTCTATTTTCTTTATTTTGGGCTCTTTGTCTTATCCTAAAAACTTTCGTCAAGTGTCTGCTGATCCTTGGTTGATCATATATATTCAAGAACAAGGATGCCAAACTCTAAAAGACGCTCTTTATGTGTGGGCTATTCACTGTGAGATGGCTGGACAGAAATTGGGCTATTTCATTGGGGAGCCAAAATGTTAGTATCTTTAAGCCTTTTCTTTGGGGCTATTTTTCTGCAGATAAGAATCGTTTCTCCTGCCTGAGACATACACACTTGGCTGCCAGCAGCTAAGGAAGAGGTGGGGGAAGAGGGTGAGGGTCAGCAGGCTTTCACTTAATTTCTGTCTTTCCAGTCCTTGCCTCACTCATCCCTGCCCTCGCGTGGGCCTCTACTTTTAGTTTTTAGAGGAACCTCCATACTGTTCTCCATAGTGGCTGCATCAACTTACATTCTCACCAACAGCACAGGATGGGTTCGCTTTTCTCCACACCCTCTACAGCATTTATTGTTTGTAGACTTTTTGATGTTGGCCATTCTGACCAGTGTGAGGTGGTACCTCACTGTAGTTCTGATTTGCATTTCTCTAATAATTAGTGACATTGAGAATCTTTTCATGTGCCTGTTGGCCATCTGTATGTCTTCTTTGGAGAAATGTCTATTTAGGTCTCCTGCCCATTATTTGATTGGGTTGTTTGGGTTTTTTTGATATTGAGCTGCATGCTGTTTGTATATTTTGGAGATTAATCCTTTGTCAGCTGGTTCGTTTGCAAATATTTTCTCCCATTCTGAGGGTGGTCTTTTTGCCTTGTTTATGGTTTCCTTTGCTGTGCAAAAGCTTTTAAGTTTAATTAGGTCCCATTTGTGTATTTTTGCTTTTATTTTCATTATTTAAGGAGACGGATCAAAATAGATATTGCTGCGATTCATGCCAATGAGCGTTCTGCCTCTGCTTTTCCTGCAGGAGTTTTACAGTACCTGGTCTTACATTTAGGTCTTCAATCCATTTTGAGTTTATTTTTGCATATGGTGTTAGGGAGTGTTCTAATTTCATTCTTTTACATGTAGGTGTCCAGTTTTCCCAGCACCACTTATCGAAGAGACTGTCTTTTCTCCATTGTATATTCTTGCCTCCTCTGTGGAAGATGAATTGACCATCGGTGTGTGGGTTTATTTCTGGGCTCTCTATTCTGTTCCACTCACCCATATGTCCATCTTTCTGCCAGTACCACACTGTTTTTTTTTTTTTAAATAAGAAAGTCCTTCTAAGTCTGTCCAAGGTACTTTCTCTTTTTTAAAAAATAAATTTATATATTTATTTATTTATGGCTGCGTTGGGTCTTCATTGCTGAGCGTGGGCCTTCTCTAGTTGCAGCGAGCGGGGGCTACTCTTCGGTGTGGTGTGTGGGCTTCTCATTGCGGTGGTTTTTCTTGTGGCAGAACACAGGCTCTAGGTGTGCAGGCTTCAGTAGTTGTGGCACGTGGGCTCAGTAGTTGTGGCTTGCAGGCTCTAGAGCGCAGGCTCGGTAGTTGGTGGCGCACGGGCTTAGTTGCTCCGCGGCTTGTGGGATCTTCCCAGACCAGGTCTCGAACCCATGTCCTCTGCATTCGCAGGCAGATTCTTTTTTTTTTAATTTATTTTTATTTATTTATTTGTTTATTGTTTTGGCTGTGTTGGGTCTTCGTTTCTGTGCAAGGGTCTTCTCTAGTTGTGACGAGCAGGGGGCACTCTTCATCGCGGTGTGCAGCCCTCTCACTATCGTGGCCTCTCTTGTTGCAGAGCACAGGCTCCAGATGTGCAGGCTCAGCAGTTGTGGCTCACGGGCCCAGTTGCTCCGCGGCATGTGGGACCTTCCCAGACCAGGGCTCGAACCCATGTTCTCTGTATTGGCAGGCAGATTCTTAACCACTGCGCCACCAGGGAAGTCCTACCATGCTGTTCTGATTACAATAGCTTTATAGTGATACTGTCTGAAGTCTAGTTATG